CTGACTAAATATTTCTTTTGACGGAGACCGGTTGCGTACGTTGGGATAAAACAATTTAAAGCAGGTGACACACTCGACGCATGTTCCAGCTCGAGCACCTGTGTGTAACTCCCTTGGAAGATTACGAGCCAATGACCTCGCATCTGATAGCGGATAGCGTGACAACACCGCCTCGACACAAAGAAACGTTGTTCGGATGATGAAACATGTCCTACTGTTAGGAGAACGCTGCCACAGATCGGAGTAGATCACGTTTTTTTTTTTTTTAAACGTCTTTATAAACAGAATTATTAAGCAAGCAAATTGAACTGCAAATAGCATCGAAATGCGTAGGTTTGATAGAGACTCTAGAAGAGCAATTAACGCACCAAGGATTAAAACGGAAGATCAAACATCGGTAGAGGAAAATCTGGACTTCTCGTCGCGTCCCGTTATTTTCCTCTAACGCGTATTTTTCCTTTCAAGATGAAAAGACTTCCACTACGTCCCAACTTTGAGAATCGTCCTGTATAGCTTCGCCCACGCGTAAACGAGCCAGGAATTACACAACGCAGAAAGGTGACGTCGTTGAGAAGTTTCTCGCGCGTCGCACGACTCGATTTCTACCCTGCGTGACTTTGATCCGACAACTTCGCTTTACCTGCGTTTCACGTTACCCTTTCGCTATGTTGGTTGGGAAAGAGAATGTTATTAATTTTGTGCTTTTTGACTTTGTAGATGAATGTTCGTCTTGTGCGATGGCAAAGCCAATCACCCTATAAATAAACCGCCTGCTTTTTATTTCGAAATCGTAGAACGTTTAACTTTATCGTGGATTTCTTCGAGTATGGTTGTTCGAACACTAACGCACAACTGGTACCATGGTTGCTATAGAATATGCAGATGGTGACGATCTGTCCATGGACAGCAACGTGGGATCGCGGCTGATCGCGAATGCAATCGTATACGATTAAATTTACTGGAACGAGTCGAACGATACCGATCAAGATACGGAAGGATGAAATCAGCGCGTAAGTCACGAGCAAGCAGGATAGAACAATCGAGACATTGACGGTTATAAATGGTAACCTTACGTAAGTTGTTTTTTGCGCTCATTAGACTAATTAGAAGCTCGAATAATGGCGCGACATTGCCGTCGCGAAACATCGTAGTTGGCCGTAACACATTGCTCTCGATTCAAGCTTTTCTTGTAGGCGCGTGTACCTAACGGGTATCGCGGAAAGCCGTGTACGAAGCGAAAGGAGGAAGAAGAATCGACGCCGGATCAGAGATCAGCGAAATTCGCATCTACGGTGCACAACCATAGCGGTAACCGTAATTTTTAATCTTTCGGACTTTTTGGTCAGTATGAAATAAAATGAATCTTATATAATTTGCAATAACCGTTGCCCATTTTTGCTAGCTCGATACCGATGATCGGTTGTTTTTCATCTTCAGAGCGACAGAAATTTTAAAATTTTTTTCATTGAGGAAAGTGGTATACGATTACGTATGTAAAAGGGGGACGCTTCGAAGCTCAAAATTCTGCACATTTACGACCAGGGTGTATCTAATTGCGAGAGGAGAGGGAGGACGAGCACAGAGAATGGAACGGAGTAACGCGGTTATTACGAATTCTGAGGCATGCCGTTGCCAACAGCGATCGCGACCTGGTTTGCGCACCAAGTCTAATGTTTATTTATCAAGTTTACGGTTCGTCCTCTTTCCGGCCTAGTTATCGTGTCGCGCTACGGTTGCCGGGGAGTTACAATCTCAAGAATAATCTTCTTTTGTTAACGGAATGTTCGCTGGTTTCAATAACCCTAAACACGCACGCTCGACCCGTGGAAATATTTTCGCGGCAAAATTGAAAGGCTTGTTTCGCGTTATTACAACCTTGCGACGCTGCTTTATTACAGTTTACTGGCTCCTATGTAATTTGAAGCATACCTAAAATATTCTCAAAGGTAAAAAGAAATTAAGAAAATTACGAAAAAATACATGGTAATAGAGATCAGGTCGAGGATTCAGAAGGTCTGTGATTTAATGTATCAAAGTTATAAAAGATGAGACACAATAGACGGAATTAATTTCTACACCAAATGATTGAGATACGAATATGGAATGTCTTTCAATTTTTGTTGCAAAAGGTGTTACGATTTTCTTTCAAATAAATCCCCAAGTTGAGATAAAATATCACGGTTCACACTACAAAACCCCCTCGAGAACCATTTTAATTTAGCTTCTACGTAATACATGTATAACTCGAAGAAAAAACTAACCGAATAGAAACATTTGACGTATAATTAGAGATTTTTTGTATATTTATGATACGAATTAAAAAAACTTCACTATGCATTAGTTCTAGATTGCTTTCCTAATTAGCATTGCATCGGAGCCATATCTTCTGCTTTCGGATGTGCCCCGCGTTACGCAATTACTCGTTTATCGTTCGTTGCCGTCACGTCTGGCCGGCGAAAATTTCCTCGCGATATCAAGCTTGCCTCGACCAAACGCGATAATAGCAAACAGCAATAAATAATGACACACAGTGTGCTCGGCGCAACTTACCTTCGTAAACGTCTCGACGTTTACACGACCCGTGAAATATCAAGACGTATCTTCTAATAACTGTCGACCCGAACCTAACTATGAAAAATGCAAATAAAGGAGCACGACGCGCGTACGCACAGCATGTAGCGAAACTGTTGGCGCGGTTTACGCGTTTGCGGTATCGTATTTACAATGCGATAAAGAGGGAAGTGTTGATTTGAGAATAATTCATTTATTACTTCTCAGATATTTCTTGCAACCAAGTGGTTTCCCCTAACATAGCGTTTATTTATTTTTTGCTATGGTTACATGATACTGTGGTGAAGACTGGTGATAAGAACATACAGGATGATGAGGGGATAAAGTTACAAAAGAATATTTTTTAAAAAGTTGTTTGGTTAAAAGTGGCAAATTATGCGCAGTAAATAATTTTGTACTAATATTTTGATAGCTCCTCGTGAGATATCTAATCACTCCTTGTATAATAGAATGATGAAAAGAAAATCAACAAAAGATCCCCTATAAACCTTTACCATCCAGCTACTTCAAGACGATCGACTTTCAGTAAACTCATTAGCACCCAAAGAGTCGTATCTACACGAAATGCGCATCCAAATTAACAATTACTGTTGTGTTCACGGTGAAAAAAAAAAAGTAGCAGCTGGAAAATAATAGCCCGATGGAAAGCGATACGTATCTAATTGGAATATAAATATTAATTTGGTCGTGGTCAATTTCGAATCGCCGCGAACTTTGAGGTCGCAGGCTTGGGGGAGGGCCACGCGACCTCAGAAGGGGTGAGGAGAAACGAACGTTATGCAAACTACACCCCAACCCTCCAGGTTACAAATGAAGGGGGAGTGCAATTTTGAAAGTCAATGAGCTGCCGCGATGCAACTTCCTTTTGTACGTATAGGTGGAAAACGCAGTGAAAATGTATAGCCTGTTGATGGATCGTACAATGGAAGACCCGTTAATACGATTCCGCGTTCGTCACGGTAGCCCGAGTTTGTTGCACCAAATACTCGATGCATCGTTAAATACACCAGGAACTTGACACTGATCGCTGCAGAGATTTTACGCGTGGAAATGGAAACAAAACCACGGTGGCAAACGCGTTCCCCTGCGTCGGTTAATTACTTGCAACGAAGGACGATAATTATTGGCGACGGAGAACATTCAACAAACAAACCCGTTGCGCGTTGAAATACGGTAATGCCCCGATGTGACGACGGCTAGTAGAGTGAGGGAATTTATGTTAATTTGCGGTTGAGCATCAGCACACTGGTGCAGAAATAAATTTTGTGTCTTTCTAAGGTAAACTTACGATCTGATTATAGAGAGAACACATGTACATACAAATGTAGCAGTACTCTGTGTGTTTCATTATTGTGAAGATTGGTACTTTAATAAAATGGCTAGTAAATATTTCTAGTTAAATAATTATGTGAATGTAAAGACATAGAATTAATTTCCACGCCTAATGGTTGCCAAGTATGCTTGCAATCTGATAGAACAACAACGATAAGCAAAATTTGTTGACTACTGCGCTTCGCATATAAATCGTAATGACTATCAGGTTGAGAATAGTTAATCATTTAGTGACCACGTTTGTTATCGTCTAAATATCAAGATGCATCTCGTTTCAAACGTACACCTAGAAGAAGTATCGCTAATCGTTGTGCTTCATTTTCGTTGTATCTATACCACATTCTCCACGCCACCTTGTGTACGAAGTCGCGATTTGAACAACTTGACATGCTGCCGAGGAAGCTCGCGCTATTTTCGACGCGGAAAAGAGTTGCACCAATCCCGAGAAACCACCGTTAAGAGTCATACTTTGGTATTAATTGCGCGTGTACGGTTCTTATTCAATTCTCTATTACGGCAAGTGTGCGTTAACCTCGTAAGCACGGTCTTTTTATTAATGGCCATTGCCATATGCACGGAACACCTGCGATGACTAACAGTACCGTACGGTTAACTATAATACGGCGAGATTACGTTCGCGTAGGTTATTTTGTAGTAACATCAATCTTGTTTCTTTCGATCCACGTAACGCGCTAGTGGGACCACGGTGGAGTTAGAACACGATTTTGCTGATGCAGTGCAACGACGAGAGCTCGTGGAATTAAAAGTTAACCCTGTTAAAGTTTCATTGAAAATTTACTCAAAAATTAAGGGAGGAAACTTACTTTGGATTTACCTCCACAATTTTTTAGGGACAAACGAACAATTTTCTGGTGAGAAGCTTTAGGGTATTGGAGAGAATGTTTCAATTTTTGTTCTTGGAAATATTTTGAACTAAGTTTCAGTGTTGTCATTTTCGTACATGAGTAGTCTACGGTGTTCTACCTCAAAGCTGAGTTATCCGAAATTCAAAGTTAACCACTACCTATATTTCGCGTCATCTTTATTCGTTAATTTCCTTCTTAACTTGTACAATTTTTGAAAGGACGAGAACTTACCTGACTTTCCCATCGGCGGTTGTCCCAGTCTGCTGAACCACCTGAGAAATCTCCTAGCCGTGGTGGCAGCGGGCGGTCTGCAGCCTTCGAGTATGACAACACCATTGTTGTTGTTATTGTTGTTGATGTTGTTATTGTTCGAAGACGGACGTTCGGACGGCGAGGCTCTGCTGTACGGCGACATCCAAGCTGTGGTGGTGCTTTGGATGGTGGCACCTTTGACGGTGGTGATAGAACTGGTTATCTTGGCCGGGTGCGGCACCCAGTCTTCCGAAGCGACTGGCATTTGTCTCGTCCTGTCGTCGGACGAGTCGAAAATGAAGCCACAAAATGGGAAAGTCATTCAAAGATTTTGCGCCCTCCTGTGAAATAGGATTATCGTGTCCCACCGGAACTGGACCAGTTCGCTGTTTCTCGGTGTCCTCGAGAATCTACCAATGGGACAAACGAAGGACGAAACTGGTCGGGTTCGAGTCTACTCCGATTCCCTGTCTCGACTTCCGTAATTCGTAACCACCGTCGATTACAATCCTCCACGCATCCTTTCGACTCGACCAGCGAGTTCTTTCGTTACGATAGTTTTCGAGTGTTATTTAATCGCGAGCCGGGAGTTTCGCGGTCGTCGCTACCAGCGTTATCGGATGTTTGCTTAGCTAGCTGACCCGACAGTCACGTGCTTCCCGTAACTTGTTGCGCACACCACCAACCGACGACTCTTTCCGTATTCTAGACGCGTCGGTCGGTCGCGCGATCGAACTCGCGGTTATCTTTGCTAATCCATCCGTCTGCACACGCGATCGCGCGTATTTTGCAACGCAGTCTCGTTAAAATACGTCTTTCTCGATCGTTTGCGCAAACGAAGCAAGAGGAAGCACGTCGAGAGGAAGAGATACGCGATCGGAACGATGGTTTTCTTGCGAAAATACTCGAGGCTCGTCGTTCCCGGCCCTTCGTAAATTTCTTTGAAAAGCGAGACGATTTATTTGGTACGTTACAAGGTACTTGGTTGCAATCTTCCTACATAAAATTTCTCGATCTTCGATCGCGTTTCAACGATTCCGGAGGATCGTTGGCCTTCTATGCCCGAGGAAGGTGCACAGAACGTAGGTACTTCCTTAAGTAGGATTATTGCACTTTGTCCTACTTCGGCCGATTAACGGTTTCTCTTGGACCAATGCAGGAACCTCTTCGTAGACGTTCGCGGTCGCCGAGGATACGAACGTTTTCTACACGGTCAGCGAACGGCAACCGAAATAATTCTTTCCTCGGTAGTTTCCGTTCTCCGATCGCGCACGCTCTTCGAGAGTAATACACTGTCTTGCGCGCGTTTCGAGGTCGAGGTTGATCTTCTCTCGTATCGGTGATCGCTACTCGGTCGGTCACGTAGTTGCTGCATTATCCGCGTTTCTTCGCGCTGTCGTCGACGACTTTATCCCTCGTCTTCGACGTCGACGTCGACGTGCACGGTCCATTCGGTTCAAACGGAGCAACGTTAGGTATCGTATCCTCTCACCTTTCCAGCGAATATATATGTATTCCCACTCGCTACGAACACAACAAAAGAGGTGAACCAGCGTATCGTCGGTTCGTTCCGCACTTTTTTTTTTTTTTTTTAAATTGGAGAACTCGCGGTGCCAAACACTAGTACATTCACTTGGAAACACAGCTCGGTAGAAGATTACGCGCGAACCACGATCGGATTACCGTTCGAGAAAGCACCGTTTAACCCATGTCGGTATGCCGCGAGCAAACGACTCGATCGAAGCAACAGAAATTGAACGCTGCACACAACGCGTGGACACGTCGCCAACGACTCGATTCCTAATCGCGCGACGCTCGTTTCCCGATCTGACGACAAACTCGAACTGCCACCGACCGCTTCTCTCGACGTTGTCTCTGCCAACTCCGACTCGGTTCTCCGTGCTCCTCAACCTCTCTCCTCTGTCCACCGGTAGTCTTCCGTCTATCTCCCTCTCCTGTTTTCCCTCTCTTTTCCCGCGGTTCGCGCGCGCGTTCTCCTCTTATCCGTACACGCGTACACCTTCCCCAACCACTGACACCCACCTAACCACTACACTGATAAGTCATACAGCTATATCGCCCCACCATACCGGTACTTTTTCTTTGCTCGGGCTCCCTCTCGCACTCGGTACTTCGTAACAGTTTCTTTATCTATTCCCTTCCTCCTTCGCTACTCTTGTGTACAGTCCTCTCGCGTGGCTCTTTCGCTAGCGGCTAGCGAATACAAACTCCAAAACGTCCCTGCGAATACAGGTGGTTTCATAACGAACGAAAACATTGATAATTTCGCTAATTTCCTCGCGCACCTCGACATTTTTAGAAATAAACGAACAAACGGTGCGGAAGTTTCGATGAAATCATCTTCGAGCACTGGAAACGATAAAAGAAAATAAATAGTCGGTGTAACGTTAACGAAATCCCGTATCCTCGTGTTTGCGTAATTACGCGAGTCGAAGTTTCATTATCTCGTAGCCTTATCGTTCAATATTTCGTATAATAAATACACGAAACGTGATCGAATAAATGGCCCAACGTCGAGGGAATTGTAAACAAGCGTAAGCAGCTGATATCTGGCATCGTCTTAGTTTGTTTTGATCTCTTAGAGATTCACTTTAACTTCATTCGAAGTCTGTGGCTTGGTTGCGACAACGATAAACGCCTGCTCCGATTTGAAAAGGATCTTTGTTTGTTTTTCCCTTGAAGAGAGGTCGTCGATGAATCGAAAAAACTCTTGTATAACCTCGACGATTCGTAGGGCAATCTCGAGTGAAGTAACGCAGGTAGATGGAGGAGAAAGAAAATCGGAGCAACGGAGACGCAAGACCGCTGAGCATCAACCTCAGCTGACGCACCGTGACTGTGACAGAAGCGCGCTCTTGTATGTACGAGGACGACAACGTCACTTCCCCCATTCACCCTACTCTCATTCACCCTCTCCCATACACCCACCTTCCCTTACCATCCGGCAAGGGCATGTGTCCCTTGTTTACCCAACACACTGCGCGTTGCTGCGCGCTACAATTTGAAACGATCGATTTTTCTTGTTTTCTCAAAAGGTAATTACTCAACGACAGTTTTAATATCTAACACTAAACCTACCACACCCAATAAGATTCCAGTTTTTAAATTTTGTTTACAGTTTCTTAGGTACAATATATTAACTATACACAATTGTTTCGTGTCCACGTTACGTTATTCAATTCAGTGCCATGTTCAGTACTTACTCCGAAAAAAATTAAGCATATCATAGGAATTTTTTTTTTTTTTTTTTTGAGTCTATAAACTAAATAACCATTTCAATGTTGTTTCAAGTGATAATACTGTTCGAAAAGAATATAAGAATATTTGTGTACGAACTTTGTAAAATTTTGAGAACGAGGAGGATAGAGATGACAAAAGAATGTTTTTACGAACGATTCCAGTGTTACTGCTAATAATGACACTACTTAGAAAGAGTATAACAATATTTTTGTGTGAGCTATTGAGAACAAATTGAGACGATTTAATCTTTCCAGCGACGCGCGATACGGCCGAGAGTTTCTTGAACGGGATCCGGTTCCAATTGAAGGGGCAAACGAGCACAAAGAAACTGTAGAATGTTAGCCATTTATAATGTTTGTAACAACTGATTTCAGACGTGAGATACACCTTTCATCTACGCGAGTCGCGGAGTATACGATACTTCGAAAACGGAATCAAATACGACAAAATGTTTGACTGCCTTTCGAATGAACATCGTGACGAAGATCATCCCCTTTCGAGTCCTGCCTTGTCTCGTAAAGTTGATAATTCTGTTATAAAAATCTTAAAAGTTCGATTGAATGATCATAGAAGTGGAATATTTAGAATCTAGCATAGCAATTCGAGTTCGTTCAAAGACAATCGAACAAAAAGCATTCGATAAAATGCGACTACGATGGTTCCTCGCCAAGACAAGATTTCGCAAACGTCCACCCGCGATTTCTTTCTGCAATACTCGGGAGCATCGTTCCCGTTGAAAATGGAAAGTCGTTGTATTTATTATTCGAGCGAGGAGCGGAACCGCCCGTTCTAAAGACGAAGTAAAAACAGAAAGCGTGTCCGATCGAGTTCAGTGAGACTTCACGCCTCTTTCCGCGCCCCCTTACTTATTCGTTGATATTCTCTTAGGTGCGAAAATCTCTAGAAAAATCTACGCGGTTGACACATTCGTCTGTAAGCCTCTTGCTAGGAGGAGAAGGAAAGACATCGTTTGAAATTTCATTGAAGAAAGGAGAAAATGAAAAGTAGAATGTACTGCAAGAGAAACAGGAGACAAAGTTGAAACTTTAGAAAAATTGGCAGTTGAAATATGCCTCGAACTTTAATAAAAACAAAAATTGGAGTAAATCATCTGTCCAAATGTGTGAAAACTCTGTCAATGAATTTAAATATGATTACTCGATTTCTGATAAATATGAATTTAACAGAAAATAGCCTTTTACTTGCGTCACACCTCGGAAATTAATGCATCACGTATCAAAAGGAAAATGAATTGCCTCGTATCGCGACTCTGCTACGATATGGAGCACGATTGGCGACGAAGTACGATTCAATTCCGTTATGTAAACAGAGATTTACTTGTAGAAGCTTACACAAGGGCGGCTGGTATCCAGACGGCGGACCTGGCGACGATAAACATTCGTTATTGGACGCGCTCGCGTTTAAAGAGACGACGAAATCTAGATGTCTAGAGCGAACGTTGATCGGCGTCGACGGTCAGGAGCCGCACGAGCAGCCCGAGAGATTCCAGTAATTAATCGTAAAACGGTTGGACGCCAGCACGGTAGCCTCCGTACAAAAATAGAGGCGCCACCGAGGATTCCGTAATGAGGCTGCGTTATGCAACGTGTTAAGGACAGTGCCCCCCGTGTGCAGATTCTTCGGGAACTTCCGTTTTTGTACGCGCGAACGGCCCGTATTAAGAGAGCCGTAATGATCACGCTCGAAATTTTATAAAGTCCGTACAAAAATATTCCTATATTCTTTCTGGATAGCACCATCACTTGAAAAAATATTAGAATCGTTAATTATTTTATAGACTCCAAAAAAATTCCTATGGTGTGCTTAATTTTTTTGGGGGGGTATTTCACGTGGTACTAAATCGAATGCAACGTGAAAAAGAAACAATTATATAAAATTGCATATTGTACATACGAAAGTGCAAAAGAAAATGAAAATTGTCGATTGACCAGTCGTGGTAGGTTCCAGTGTTAAATATAAAAATAATACTCGAGTGAGAAGTATCTTTGGAAAATACGAGAAGAACGTACAAAAGAGAGCGATCATCGGGACAGGATTTTCCGTTTGGCAAGATAACCCACCCGTCCGAAGCATCGCAAAACAAAAGTGGGACACATTGGCAGTGGCATTCGCGAAAATGTTGTTAAACGAACAGTGCCCCCCGAAGATCGACAGAAGATCCGCCCATACGTCTTTCGACCGATCCGACGGCTCCTCGTGCAGCTCGAAAAAAATCTTCGTCGACGTCGGTGATCATTAAAATACACACTTGACCTAGAGTACCTGTAGGTGAAACGAATACGAAGAGACGGGGTTACAGAAGGCTCGCGCGACGAAGAGGTGAAATCAGGATGACAAAGAGGAAGACGTTTCTGGCAGCGGTTCAAAGCGCAGTCCGACCTAACTGAAATACTGCAGTACTCCAACAGTACGTGTCGCATACCAGGTGAAAATATTGCGGAACTGTTAGCTTACCAACCAGGAATATATATCGCATAATCTACGACATAGGAAATTGTCCCCGTACTTTCTCCGCGAAATCAAATACGAGCCGCAAATACAAACGCGTTGCTCGCGTTGCTACACTTGCTTCTTATTTTAATCGCACCGACGAGATCGTAATTAAGATAATAATACCTCGTTTCGACATAGCATCGGTTATCGACGCTTTCAATTTATTCTATTAACGCGGTAATTAAACGTTTCGGTGAAAGAGGATTTCCATGGTTGTGTAACGAACGAATAAAGTAGGTTATTTATGGTGACGTTATAATGGAGTTAACGTTTGTTTCGTTTTAATAATCATCATTATTGTTGGAGGCGATTAAATATTCCCGTTTCAATTGCTATCTATAAATTAATCTTATTTACAGAAAACCGGGAAATGAGGTCGTGACGTCGATACGCAATTAAAAAGTTCAAATTGATTATACGGACCAAAGTTTGTGTATCGAACGAAACAATTGACATTAATTTATATAATTAGCGATGATGAAGCAGTAATCCTTCGACGCTTGGCTCGTTATCGAACGAAGCTAACGATTTATCGATTAAAAATTATACAACTTCCTCTCACGATATTAGGTATCGATTAGCTTCTTCGTTCGACTCGTAGATTGCGATTAGGCTAGTTGCGAGAAACAATAGGTCGATCGACAAACCGCACATGCCAGCGGGCGATTTTTACAGAGGAAGAGAATCGGTAGAGCGGTCGCATAAATACATCCAACCAGGATTTCCACTCTAATAACGTTAACACAGTCGAGACGTACATGGCAACAACAGTGGTAGACCTAACAATGCCAAGCTAGAACCGACCAGCCTTTCAGTGATTTTTCATGAAACGTTCCACGAGCATGAGTTAAGACGAAGTTGGCTATAATTCAAAAAAAGGAGGAGACTTAACTGCATCCAGAACATGTCTGTAACTGTCACCGTCGGTAGAATATTATTATATAATTTATATCAAATCAAAGAATGTGATATTATGAAAAAAAAAATATATTTTATATCAAAGAATGTGATATTGTGAAACAGGATAAGCTTGTAATTTTTTGTAAATAAAAATTCGATTGTTGAATATATCGACTTGGCAC